CAAGCCTATCTCCTTTTGAGGTGGTATACGGGTACAACCCATTAACCCCTCTTGACCTACTCCCATTCCCTAATTCATCTCTCTTGAAGCATAGGGATGGCAAAGCCAAGGCTGACTTTGTCAAAAAGATCCATGAAAAGGTCAAGGCCCAAATTGAGAAGAGGACTGAAAGTTATGCTAGGTCAGCCAACAAGGGAAGAAAAGAGATCATCTTTAAGCCCGGAGATTGGGTTTGGGTCCATATGAGAAAAGAAAGGTTTCCTACACAAAGGAAATCTAAGCTACAACCAAGGGGTGATGGCCCATTTCAAGTCTTGGAGAGGATTAACAACAATGCCTACAAGCTGGACCTACCAGGAGAGTATGGTAACATTAGTGCCACATTCAATGTGGCAGATTTAACCTACTTCGATGAAGATTCGAGGTCGAATTCTTTCAAAGAAGGAGGGGATGATGAGAATCCCATCATGGATGACAAGTCCATACAAGGCTTAGGGGGTCCCATGACCCGAGCCAAGGCTAAAAGGGCTAAATTAGCCCTTGAAAGACTCGTGGGCAGAACCCTTGAGTCAGGCCAAGAGGCCAGCACCAATGCTAGGCCCATTCACTTCATAGTCCAAGATGAGGACTTGGGAGGCCACGGCCTCAAGGCAGCTACCTAGCTTGCCTTTACATGCTTTCAATAAGTGGGCCATTACTTGACCCACATAGGATTAGGTTTATTTTATGCTTGTTTATTTTATTTCCAAGTATTTTATTTGTGTTGCTTAAAATATGGAAGAAGGTGAGTGTTTGTTAAGTGTTTCAGGGATAGGCCCAAAAGCCCAAGCAAAGACCAAGCCAGGACCAAAATGCTAAGTCAAATGGAGGGAACTCAAAGGCACAAAGGAGGGAGATTGAAATTCCAAAACTTTAAATTCAAATTTGAATTCAAATTGGGATAGAGATGAGATTATCATGGCCAAGTCTTATGGGACAAAGGAGCCACGTGTATCATCAAAGGAACCTCACCAAAATAAGGATTCCTTGAATTTAGGCCAAGTTAAAGGAGGATCCCTTAAATTTCGGCCAGGCTCAAATACAACTCAAACTTCCCAAAAGCCAAGCCTAGTTTTGTGGAGAAGATATCATCCCAAAAATTCAGCACAAATCAAGGTAGAGGAGGACTCTCCTTGATTCTCGGCCAAACCAGCACAAAAGGAGGACTACAAGATCACAAGGTCAGCTTGACCTAGTTGTGCCGCCAACCCTTTCAAGGCAAGGATTGACAAATTCAACCTATTGCACACGTGGCCTACTATGAAGCTAATAAGGAACAAGTCTAGAATATTCCATTCAACAACTTATCCCTAATCTGCCTAGGTCAAGCAGCCAGCAAACATTGACTTAGTTAGGTGCAATTGAATTTAGCCTATTTTTTAGCTTTGAATTATCTTAGTCTAAATTTAGCATTATCTTATGTGGATTTGAGGCCCAACTTGTGGGAACCCTAATCCTAGTTTCTTCTTCTATATGTATTTCGTTTTAGTCATGAATAAAGTTAAGTTGATATTGAATTATTTTGGATTAACTTCCTGAGTTAGTGAGTGAGTCTCCTAGCATTCTTGGCTAAGCCAAGGAACCGTTCTTATCAAGTTACCTAGTTGGCTTGTGGCGAACTTCGCAGGCTTATCAAACACTTAGTGTTTGTGGCGCCCCACCTTTCATACCCCCCATCCACCTTCTTGTTCTTTACCCTTAAACACTTATCAACCGAATCATAAATCATAAACACTTCCGCATTCATTAAATTTTCAAGTACAAATTCAAACGAATCATAAGAGTTCCAAGCAAGAAACGGTCCAATCAATTCTCTCAAAAAGGAGAGTTTTCAAAAAGGCAATCACCCCCCTGAGGTTGTCATCATGGGATATGATAGGATAAGATAGGATTGGATGGGATAGGTTGGGATGGGATAGGACGGGATAGGATTGGATAGGATGGGATAGGATAGGATGGGATAGGATAGGATGGGATAGGATAGGATGAGATAGGATTGGATGGGTAGAATAGGATAGGATAGGATAGAATAGTATAGGATAGGATTGGATAGGATGGGATAGGATAGGATAGGATAGGATAGGATAGGATAGGATTGGATAGGATAAGATAGGATAAGATATGATAGGATATGATATGATTGGATTGGATAGGATAAGATAGGATATGATAGGATTGGATTGGATAGGATAGGATAGGATAGGATAGAGTAGGATAGGATAGGATAGGATAGGATTGGATGGGATAGGGTTGGGTAGGATAGGATAGGATAAGATACGGTAGGATAGGATAGGATAGGATTGGATAGGATAGGATAGGCTAGGATAGGATAGGCCAAGATAGGATAGGATAAGATAGGATAGGATAAGATAGGATACGATACGATAGGATATGATAGGATAGGATAGGATAGGATAGGATAGGATAAGATAGGATAGGATAGGATAGGATTGGATAGGATAGGATAGTAGAGGATAGGATAGGATAGGCTAGGCCAGGATAGGGAAGGATAAGTTAGGCTAGGATAGGAAATGATAGGATAAGAGAGGATATGATAGGATATGATATGATTGGATAAGATAGGATAGGGTAGGGTAGGTAGGATAGGATATGATAGGATAGGAAAGGATAGGAGAGGATAGGAGAGGATATGATAGGATAGGATAGGATAGGATAGGGTAGGGATGGGATATGATAGGATAGGATGGGATAGGATGGGATGGGATGGGATAGGATAGGATGGGATAGGATAGGATGGGATGGGATAGGATGGGATGGGATAGGATGGGATAGGATAGGATGGGAGAGGATAGGATGGGATGGGATAGGATGGGATAGGATTGGATGGGATAGGATGGGATAGGATTGGTTTTGGATAGGATAGGATAGGATAGGATAAGATAGGGTAGGGTAGGGATGGGATATGATAGGATAGGATATGATTGGATGGGATAGGATGGGATGGGATAGGATAGGATAGGATAGGACGGGATAGGATAGGATAGGATGGGATAGGATAGGATGGGATTGGATAGGATGGGATAGGATAGGATGGGATAGGATAGGATGGGATAGGATAGGATGGGATAGGATAGGATGGGATAGGATAGGATGGGATAGGATAGGATAGGATAGGATAGGATAGGATATGATCGGATAGGATAGGATTGGATTAGATTGGTTAGGATAGGATAAGATAGGATTGGATTAGATAGGATAGGATAGGATAGGATATGATAGGATAGGATAGGATAGGATAGGATAGGCTAGCCTTGGATAGGATAGGATAGGATAGGATAGGATAGGATGGGATAGGATGGGATAGGATGGGATAAGATAGGATGGGATAGGATGGGATAGGATAGGATAGGATAGGATAAGATAGAATAGGGTAGGGATGGGATATGATAGGATAGGATAGGATGGGATGGGATAGGAAGGGATGGGATGGGATAGGATAGGATGGGATAGGATAGGATGGGATGGGATAGGATGGGATGGGATAGGATGGGATAGGAATGGATGGGAGAGGATAGGATGGGATGGGATAAGATGGGATAGGATTGGATGGGATAGGATGGGATAGGATTGGATAGGATAGGATAGGATAGGGTAGGGACGGGATATGACAGGATAGGATTGGATTGGATGGGATAGGATGGGATGGGATAGGACGGGATAGGATTGGACGAGATAGGATAGGATGGGATAGGATAGGATGAGATAGGATAGGATGGGATAGGATAGGATGGGATAGGATGGGATATGATAGGATAGGGTAGGGATTGGATATGATAGGATAGGATAGGATTGGATGGGATAGGATGGGATGGGATAGGATAGGATAGGATAGGATAGTATAGGATTGGATAGGATGGGATTGGATAAGATAGGATGGGATAGGATAGGATTGATAGGATAGGATAGGATAGGATAGGATAGGATAGGATAGGATAGGATAGGATAGGATAGGATAGGATAGGATTAGGATAGGATAGGATAGGATAGGATAGGATAGGATAGGATAGGATAGGATTAGGATAGGATAGGATAGGATAGGATAGGATAGGATAGGATAGGATAGGATAGGTAGGATAGGATAGGATAGGATAGGA